TTATTATATGGGTCAACCTGGACAACAACCGTTTAATAACTTAAATCCAAGGCCACCACCACCACCTCTTCCACCAATAATAATACTTGCTATTTTGCCTTTATTCTATATTTTAGCAATAATGTTTAAAAAATATCGATACTTTAAAATTTTTATCATTCTCTTTATTCCATATTCCCTATGATTTCTTTATGCCCAAAATGTTTAGAAGAAATAAATATTCTACCATGGTGTAAGGAATGTGCAACTAAATATTTCGAAGAAAATTTTAGATCTAGTGGACATGAAGAAATAGATAAAATTATAAAAAATACACAATTAAATAGATAAAATTATAAAAAATACACAATTAAATTCAAAGGTTCCAATAGATTTTGTGGAATGGATTCCATACGAACAATTTAAAAGAGTAAAGTTGATTGGTTCGGGTGGATTTGGAATTATTTATAGTGCATTTTGGAATGAGGGACCAATCTCTATGCGAGCAGATAAGTTTGAAAGAACGGGGGAATTCAGGTTGCACTAAAAGGATTTCGTTCATCCACTTCTCAGAAATGTTTAGATGAGGTAAATATATTTTAACTGAAGTGTTGTCGTCTGTTATCTATTTATTACGTACGTAAGTACGTACGTGCACATTTATTTATATTTTCTTTTTATAGCTACGTATGCATATAAAATGCTGTACAACACCAAATCTTAGCTCTAATAATAATATGAGATGGTATCTTAAAACTATTATTGGGAGGTCCCCGATTCTTAGATGTTACGGTCTCACTAAGCGTTCTGTAAATGAAAGCACAGAAGATTATATGCTTGTGATACAAATCGCAAAACGTGGTAATTTAGAAAGATATCTGGCTGAAAATTTTTATCATATGAAATGGTTCGATGACAAATTACAAATTCTTGCTAATATTGCAAATGGCCTCAGAATTATTCATGAAGAAAGTCTAACTCATCGTGATCTCCATTGTGGTAATATTTTAGTTGATAGTGATGGTATGACTTATATTTCTGACTTTGGATTATCAGATTCTTATGATCCTGAAAATTCTACTACTAGTAAATGTTATGGTATAATCCAGTTCATTGCTCCAGAACTTCTTAAAGATGGAATTTATAGCCCTGAAACGGATGTATATAGCTTTGGAATTATCATGTGGATGCTATCTTCTGGAATTATGCCAAACCATAGTTATGGCCATGATAATATGGAATCACGACCTCGAATAATTGATGGAACACCTCATTGCTTTGAAGAATTGATGAAACGTTGTTGGGACTCTGACCCTAAAAAAAGACAAACTTCAAAATGTTCAAGAAATTGAATGTACTAACCCTTTGGATAATAATAATAGTGGAATAAATCAAACATTGGTATCAAACAATAATCAAGGTATTCATAATTAAACTTAAAAATATTGTTTAAGCAAAATTAGCATTAATTAACCATTATTATCTTTTAATTTAGATTCAAATGTAGAGAGTTTGGTAATTGATGAAAATATGTAAATATGTTCAGCTCGTAGCCCAATTGCTATTTTGTTTCAAATTTGTACAGTATTTTTCGGTGGCTTGATTATTTTACAATATACAAATTTTATTTTAATATAATTTCGTTTAAATTTGTCGCATTGAATATATAATGTAGCATAAAACGATATAAACCTGAAATTTTGTTTCCTTTAAACAGTTATTAGTGTTATTTTATCATAAGATTATTTGATCTCAAGATAAGACCATTTTAACGAAAAATTTGGAGAAGTTTATGAAAAAACAAAATATGTTTGCTTAAAATTTAGTAATTTATAAATAAATTAATACTATAATAATTTGTAGCTCTTTGAGTGAAATGAATGTTTTTCCTGCTCTCGAAAAATTTACTATGTGCCAAATGAAGTGGATAATAGATAATTTTTTTAAAAAGTAAATGTAGTATATGATTAAAGAAACATTTTATAATGTAAAGCATATATTATATTTATACTTTTTAATAAGTTTTCACGATCATGAAATAACGCGCATAATTCTTAAGTTTACGAATAACATATATCAATTTCGGTGAGAATAAATATACCCGTTTATAACAATAAAAAGAAAGGTTTAATAATTGTGAAGGACCAACACGAGGTTGATCCAACGTGAGGTCAATTAGTATTTTTTATGATTATTAATCACTGGCAGACTTTAAATACTAATGGACCTCACGTTGGGACCAACCTCATGTTGGTCCCTCACAATTATTATGAGTAATTCTGATATTCGTTCGTCATACAATCGTGTAGTCTGCGACAAGTAAGAATAACGATGCATATTTGACTTTTAAAGAATTAGCATAGGATCGATTTTCGCTCATAACGTAACGTGGTCTTTTATTTATATTTTGTGGAGAAAAACAAAGAGATTACATGATTACGTTTATTGAACAAAAAATTACAATAGTAATAAGGTTATTCTATAATCAATGAGATTAATGAAAGAAGTATGTACAAAATGATTGTCCAATAAATGAAGGTATTTTTTAACGTGAGTGTGAAAGTAGCAACAATTAATAAATTATCAAAGTCATTATATATTTTATATAAAAATAATATCATATATATTATATAAAAATAACATATATATTTTATATAAAAATAACATATATTTTATATAAAAATAACATATATAAAAATAGTAAGAGTTTTTTTATAAAATTCGAAAACAAAAAGTTCCAATAAACTATTTCTTAAGATTTTTGTTTCTCTGTTCTCTCTGTTCACAAATTTCTTTTACTCTTTGTCGATATTCAGGTGACCTATTTTTCCATCTTGCAAATATCCTTCTTTTTGTACTAAAAGGATTACGACTGATATACTTTTCAGCAGCACCTAAATTTTTAGGATCACTAGCTTCATAACTATGTTCTAATACCCAATCCATGGCACAAGGCTTCATTTCATCTTTTGACTCTTTGTTCTTTTTATTATTTTTGTCTTTTTTATCCATCACAGTCCATAGTAATAAATGATAACCATTTTTATCTAGTTGGTCAATATTTGCTCCATGATTAAGTAATAAATCTAGCACTTCATTTGGCCATTTGTTCTTAATAGCTATAAATAATGCATTTGGAGCAAAATAAGGTTCAGGAAGTGTAAATTCACATGAGATATTAGGATCAGCACCTTTTTTTAGTAATAAATCAATTATCGAAATATCATTTACTGCATTATATTTTTTGCTCAAGCAGTTGATTAATATTGTTCGTTTTGAAAAATCTCTTGCATTAATATTACATCTATTATCCACCAAAAAACTTATTATTGTTTTTATGCTCTCTAAATCATTTTGTATAGATAATTTGGACTTTAATACCAAATTATGCAATGCAGTACATTTTTCTTTTGAAGTCACATTAAAATCCGCTCCAAATTCTTTTAGAATGTTAAATATTTCGATCATTTTTTCACCGTCACAATGTTCTGAAGCTATTAAAACAAGGTGATTTTTTGATCCACCAAAGTGATATAAATTGTTAACATCATTCTTATTTTGAAGGTGATATCGTAAACCATCCGAGTCGCCAAGCCAAACATGATAACATGGACTACATGCTGTAGGATTTTCGAAATCTATAACACCTTTATATTCCTTGATATACCTTTCCATTATTTCTTTACACATTTGTTCGGACGATTCATTATTTATTTGTTGTTGAACTTTGTTTATATTATGATCAGATTGTTGTTCAAATTGTCCGTGATAGTAATCTTGTGGACGCATTCCTGGTTGTGCCATGTTTTGATGAGAGAAATTCGATGAATTTGATGCTTGATCTGAAATGGAAACTTTTGGTGGAAGAGGTGGTGGTGGTGGCCTTGGATTTAAGTTATTAAACGGTTGTTGTCCAGGTTGACCCATATAATAA